CTACTTACTCTAACGTTCCATTTCTATAACACCCTCATTGTGAAAAAACTACAGGGGGGTTCAGCATGGTGTGCGGAGGAATTGGGAGCGACTACAAAGGGGAGATCTTTGTGGTGATGGACAATGACGGTGGAGGCGGTGAAATGAAACTACATGCCATCCAGTGGCACTGAACTAGACTCAGGCCCTAGCAACGTCTGTGTCCGGCTTTGATCAGACCCTGGAGACACTTAGGGTGTAAGCTTTAGGGGGCCTGAGGAGAGGGCACACAGGGCCTCTCTCACTATCTTTGCAGCTTTCTGTGACTCTATAACAACACAGATTGCAAAAAAAAAAAAAAAATAAGCATGAGGTGGCAATCATGAAGCCGTGATCGGGTGACACGCAGCCTCCTAATGAAATATAGTAGCGCCTCGTTGTAAAGGATTTTTTGGTTTGTTTTCTTGCCTGTTTTACTCAAGACATCATCGTACCCTGATTCCCCCTGGATATAAGCCAGAATGTTCCATCTCACTACATGGAGTTAGCAGTAGGCTCTATTATACCTTGCAACTGTCCCAGGCTGGTGCCCAGCTCACACAAGATGGTCATTTAGGTCATTTAGAGGAAACAGGTGGAGAACGGAGAAGAGGCCCAGTCAAGGTCATACAAATAACCGAGGGCAGCAAGGGGCCCGAGGTGGGATCTGGGGCCTTCCCATTACACCACCTGCCTCCTTTCTGCCGCCCTGGTGCCCGAGGCTGGAGAAGGCATTGACATTCAGAACTCATCTGAAGGTGAGCTCGGCAAAGAAGCAGCCAGGAACCATCTGTGGCACCGGGGAGTCTCTTTTAATTGCCTATTCACACAGACAGACTGTCTTTTCATATTCAGGGCTAAACTTGGCGCCTGTCCTTTCTCAGGGCCCTGCTATCTGGCTGCCTCATCAGGAACGGGATCTAAAGTGCAACGTGATTGCGGAGTGCAAGTTCTAATTTTTCCCACCAAGCAGGAAGTTAAAAAGCTGCTGGGCTTTTTTCTTTTTTTCTGGGTTATTTTTAAAAGGGGTGAAAAATAGGCATATACCAGCATCCGCAGGGCCGACCCTAAGGCTGCTCACTGGCCGGGAGACTGGGGTGGGCTGATGGGCAGCAGAGGGAGGAGCTTAGTTGCCACTCAGTGAGGACAGCGACCCTGGATTTCTCTGGGTTGCCACTTCGTGGTTTGTTTTTGTTGGAGACTTATCACGACCTCCTCCTTTGGTGAGCCCTCCTTCCAGCAAGTCCTGACAAGCTCCAAACTTCCGAGGAGACTGGGCCCCCAGCCCAGGACTGAGAGTCGCCCCAGGGGTCTGGCCACTGCCCCTTGTGTGTGGCCTTGGGCCTCACCTACTTCACTAGAGTCCCAGAAGTGAGCCTCGGATTCCTGATGCAGAGCTTCAGTAGAGGAGTCTGGGAGAGCGCATTCTAGCATTAAGGGACCGTGCTTAGGTGAAAGGAAATCTACTTGAACTAGGCAGACGTTCAAGGTTTTCTTGGTCATTGACTGTGTGAGATGCTGCACTAGGAACTATGATTGCAAGAGAGTTGCTTTTGGGGAATTGCCCCAGCCCCAAAATAAACAGCAAAGCCACAGAGAATCATAAACCACTAGGAATCACTGCAATAGAAAATTCTAGAAATAAAGGGCAAAACCACGAACCTTCCTTTCTTGGCATGAGCTGTCGCATTCTCCTCCCCCATCCAGTCTCGAGGAAACCTTTTTCTCTGCTCCTAGCCACAGGGCACGTACGCCTCCTTAGCCCCCCTGACAAGCCTGTTAACTAGTTATCTTCCAGCCAACTTCTCAAAGAGGAAAAGGAGTCAGCTAGCATGCGCATCTTGCCCAGCGTCTCAAAGCTGGTCAGGGGCTGAGCTGGCCTGAGTGAGCAGGCTGCAGAGCCTGGTGCCCGGCTGTGGACACCCAAAGCAGTGGCTGGTGTGACCCTCTTGGACCGGAGTCCTCAAGTCTGCTTGCGTGGGGGACGTAGGGGGTGACGGTGCAGGAGCCATCTGGGAAGGGGTGGGACTTGGAGGGGTGCACATGCTTCCACAGCCTGTTTAACAGGAAAAACTGACCCAAGGTGGAGTCCTTGATCCCAGTCCCTCCCCGATGAACACAGATTGCAGTTCCAACGTTCCCGAAGTGTCATCGTGAACCCGCCGGCCTGGCGCTCCCTCATCAGCGGTCACCTGCATGAGAAGCTTCCTCTGCCTTCCCTGAGACAAGGTGGCTCTACCTGAAATCATCTTTTACATTCAATAGCCTTGTTCCTCATGCTCTGTATAAATACCCTCCACCTGTGTCAGCCCTTGCAGGGTCTAGACACAAAACCAATTCCGTCTCTTCTATTTGTGAATTTTGTTTCCTAGCAAACTGTGGGTCTGTGACCCAAGTTAGCAAACTCAAGGTGGAGAGAGAGGTGCTGAGTTTTGAAGGCGGGGAACCCAGGGCTGGGGAAATTCTTTCTCAAAGAACTGTCTGGGAGCCTGATCTGCTCCCCAGGGCTGGAGTGTGGGCCTGAGGTCTGCACAACACCAAGAAGAGAGTCTTGGTAAGATGACGTGGGCTAAAACCACTCCGTGGAAGTAGCACTTTCTGCCTGGGGCTTCACGGGCAAAACAACATATGCTACAAAATCAGAAACAGCAGAACAGAATCTCAGGGGTGCACAGAACCTTCGTGGCCGCCTTCCAACTCTGTCCCAGATGTGACTGCCCGTGTGCCCAGCCCCCCTCTGCACCCTGTAATGGAGATTCACACCTGGGGCTCTATGTTCGGTGCAGGGTTCCCCTTCTTTTGGGGGGGTGCCACTCCCACTAGGCTTATCTATAGGGCCAGGCCTTGCAGGCTGGGGCCACAGAAGCAAGTCCCATCCTTTGGGACTCTTCAGAGTCTGGCACGCGCAGTCCTTGTTTTTATTGCAGGTGAAGGGTGGAGGGGAGCTTTGTGGCAGGTAGTTTTAGGGGCCCCCCTTGCCACAGATGTGAAGGGGCCCTTTATACACCGGAGGAGGACAGAGTGAGTCTCCTGTCAGACAGGTAGAAGGCAAATGCCGGAGTTTAATTACGCTTAGTCTCGGGAACTTAGTCTGGGGAAGGAGTAACTCGGATGGCTTACTCACCCTGAGGCGACACAGAGGTGACGAGCAGTCAAAAATAAGCCGAACTTCTGTTCTCCTGGCCGGACCAGAGTGCTGGGTCGTGGCTCCCGCCGGCCTGGACTGCTGTCGCTCTGGGGAGCTTGTGATGTCCCGGGTGCTGGCGTCGTGGCTCAGGTCTCCAGGGACAGCCTGGGCCTCTCTCTGGCATCTGTCAGGCCCTTGTGGATGAGCCTCGGGGGCTCGTGTCCACCCGGCCCTGGGTTGGGCCCGCCGGTTCACGAGCTCCACCCCCACCCAGGATGTGGCCACCGCTCACCAGCAGGGCTCTTGCCACCCCTGGTGGGGGCACAACAGTGTGTTGGAATAACCTGCCTTTTTTGCAGCCCCCAGCAAAAAAAAAAAAAGGTTTGTTAAGTCACACCAATGAGTCAGCAGTGAGTTGGCTGAGCAGCAAGCGCCACTAAGATGGCAGCCCAGGAGGCAGCAGGGTCCTGCCTGATGGGAAGGAGTCCAAGGGGCATGAAGACCCAGGGGCGAGAGCGCAGACGTGGCCAAGCTCCAGCTAACCAGCGCACTGGCCTGTCTTTTATCTAGGGTCTCTTTTTTTTTTTTTTTACAGACTTATTTACTTATGCATACAGATCCGGGGTGCAGGCCAGAGGAGCCGGGGCCAGGTGAGAGGATTCACCAGAGACAGAGTGGGGGGCAGAACGGCAGGTAGACACCATACACTGCTGAGGGGAGCAGCGGGTGGGCCAGGAGAGGTCTGCTGCGTCATGTGGGTCACCCCTGGGGTGGGAATGAATTCGCACAGCGATGAATTCACACTGAAGCGGCTGCAGCCAGCTCGCAGTGCTGTGTCCTTACCTGTTGCGCCACCAGAGAGGGACTGCTAAGGGTCTTTCTATCCCTGGACTTCTCCTGTGAGATCCTATTTCCCAATCTCTTAGCTGAGTCAAGTTCCCCATCTGTTGGGTAAGGGACTCACTCTCACCACACAAATGATGCATGGCTTGGGAAAATCATTTCTTTTAATGACAGAGAAAGCACACCAAGCTACAACAGAGGCCCGCCAGGCATCACCACCGTACAGTCACAGCTCGGCGGCCCTGAACTAGCATTAGACCTTCCCGGGGAAGTCAGTCGCCGCTAAGGAAGCTTCCAGGCGGTGTCTTGAGGACCCAGGAGGCAGGAGGCAGCGGCGACTCACGCACGTGCCGCCTTGTGTGTAACGTGGACTCTGCAGCCAGTTTCTCCCCCCTCCTCACTTGATGGTGGGGCCTGCAGAAGGACGCCCGGTGGGTCAGCCTCTGGAGAGCCGACGGTGTAGACATGGCCCCGGTACTCCGTGGTTTCTGCCCGCAACACAGGCCTGGACATTGGGCCTCTGGACAGTGGCTCAGGGAACTGCTGTGATGAAGGAACAGCAGCTCTTTTAGAATCTAGGTCTGTGTACAACTTCCCAAAGGCATGCTAGGAAACAGGCGTACCAACGAAACTTGCCATCCCAAAGGGTAAAAGTCATTCTCCTAGTTTTTACTGCATGTATCAGGTCTGAAATGGAAGGACCACAACCAAGGCAGCAACTCAAGAATTATTTGGAATATTGTGGCACTTCACCCATCCCTTTTGCTTATCATATATGGCAGAGCAAACGGAACCCTGTCGATAGAAACTCTCATTATAGATAATCCTATACTGTACACTCTTAGGATACAGAAAGAATCCTTCCTATCATACATGTTTCGTCTTTAAAAATAATCTAACATAGTCATATTCTCTGGCTAGTAACAAACTATTAACATCTGAGAATATCGAGAAAACTCTGGATTAATAGTAAATTCTCGGATGTGCTCCCCCCCACCCTCCCCATCCTGCATCCGCTATGACCAATTTCTGCAAAAGCATCCCAGAATCATTCACAATTAAGAAAAGAAATGGATATGAGTTTCACCAAGTGGACTTTCTGTTTAGCAAGAAGTGACGGAATGTTGTTACCTTGGCAAAAATGAAGCACAAACGTAATGTTTCACAGGGTTGAGCCCATGCAAATGCATGTGTTTGTTAGGTGGGGTGTTTTATTCTTACCCCAAAAACCACAAGTAGCATGCAAGGTTTTCAGCTATTGAATTAGAGATAATTATTGGCAGTGCACCTCTTTTGTGTAACCATGATCACTAAGGCAAGATGATGTCAGCATTACCCTGTCAGGTGCCTGTCTATACAGAATGGACCTGTGACTTACTGTTAAAAAAAAAACCAACAAAACCTCAAAACACAGATCCCTAAATAGAATTCAATTGAAAATGAACTTCAAGCTTTTAGAAATATAGTTTGAACTACAAGGCTGCCCTGTTTGTTTTTATGAACATTTTATAAAGTTCCCACCCCTAAAAATTAGCCAGATTATCTCTCCATTATTGGTAGCAGCGACACGCCTCCGTGGCTGCCTCTTTGCCGAACAGCAGCTCCGAAAGTCCTTGTTGTGTAATTTCAACGCTCTTCAGGGCGAGTAGTAGTCGAGTTCTCCAAAAATCAACCTAGAACCTGAACGACCCTCAGTTCTCAATCCATCCACCTGTCAGCGGGTCCCCAGCTGAGGGCGGTCAAGCGCCCGGGGGCTGCTTTCAGATGGCATTTGCTTGGCAGCCCGACATCGGCCACCAGGCTCTGGGCCGGCTGTAAGGACCTTGCAATGTCCTGGGTTTTTCAACAGGAATACATGGGAGCTGGAGGTGCTTATTCAGGAGAAGCCAAGGCAGTCGAGGCAGCTCCGTGGCCCAGCCAGAAACAGCCGCCGGTGGACGTGGTACTATCGGTGAGAAGCCAGCGAGCAGGAGAGCAGGCAAGGTCCCGCGGAGCATTCCCACCACCGGCGTCTCATACAACCGAGCCTTTGGAGGATGACAGGTGGATCGACTGGATCCTGATGGCCAACGTCCTCTGTAAGTCCTGCAGCACATCCTGGCCCGTCCCTTCGCCACTTTTGTCATAGAGGAGCTGCTTGAAGGCTTCGTTCTCGATCAGGACCATCATGTTTTTGAGAAAGTAGCCTTCACAGTAGGCTGAGAGCTCTGTGACGCCAAGAAACTGTGCAGAGGAAGCAGGAGATGGTTAGGTTTCTGACGGGCTCCTGCCTGCTCTCACATGCAAGCGCAGTGAACTGTGAGGTCGAGGGACTGCTGGAGGCTGACCTCCCTCCACGCCCACTTTGTAGTATTCACACCCCTGGGATGTGCCTTTGCAGCTTCTCCCACCAGTCCACTCCCTGGCCTGGTGGCCTTCTCAGGCCAGGAGAAGGTGGTAGAAGTGATAGTGGGGGCTAGCTCAAGTGACCGTGTGTGCTTGCCTGCTCTCAGGACCCTGCCTTATCACAAGAACAGGCTAGGGTCAACATGCTGGGAAGGTGGGCACCCATGTGAACCAAGAGTCCAGTGGTCCCAACTGAAATCCCCAACAGCAAGAGAGCCCAGGCAGTGTCAGCAAAGCCAACGCCAGCTGACTGGCCAGCCAACCTCAGTGGGAATGGCGTGGAGACCAGAAGGAACTTCCAGCCACCTCGTCACCCACCATGATTGTAGAACAAGTGTCTGAACCGCTGGGAACTGGGCTTCTCAGGTATTCACTGACAACCAGGTGCTAGTGGAGCCTGACAGGGTTTGAAGTCCTTTATGAGCATTGACTCAGATCATTCTCTAAACTGGGAGCTGGTGGCTGTACCCCACTGGACCTAGTGGGTAGAAGCCAGGGGTGCTCACGCTAAAATCTCACAGTGCACAATCAGTCCTGCAGTGATGGTTTATGTGGCCCAAGCCATCAGCAGGATGGAGGTGAGGAGCAGGTCTAGAGCTATAGGTAGACTAAGCCAAACACGGGCTAGGTGGGCCTGCCCTACATCTTCTGATGAACGCAGTTCCTGGCAACTGTGGCTTCTCATGAACCCTAAGAAGTAATCCCCTCACTTCCAGGCCTGGGTTCTTTCTATCATGAGGCACAGGTGAGTTTTCTGCATTTCCTTAGATTCAAGGAAATGAATGGGATGAATCAGCCTATTCTCATTCTCAAGTTGAAAAATTGTGGGTCATCAGCAGCTCCAGGACCTCCCTTTCATGCCTGAATATCTGGGGACAGCTTTGCTAGGAAAGAAAACACGGCTAAACCATGCATTTATAGGGTGGGTGTCTCAGCTGCGTGAAACTTCACTGCTGTCTCAGATGCGCTGCTGCAGTACAGAGGCTGTGTTGCCGAGACCTTGCTGACGCCTGCAATACAGTCGGGAGCCTCTAAATGCCTGCATTCTGGGGTTCCAAGGCAGTGGTGGGGTCTTTTTTTGGTGGCTCTTACTGAACTAGCCTCAATTTGCCGGCCAATCTGTCACTAAGAGAATCCACATGGCACGCAGCCATCAGCCACTGCACGGGGAGGCACGGGGAGACTGCCGGGTCCTGCCCTGTGCTCTGTGCAAATATCAGGCTGGGCAGACATTTGCTTTGGAAGCGCTCCAGGATGTGGCCCAGTAGGCGGTGTTTGGAGAAGGCAAATTGCCGACTGCAGAAGTGCACACGGGAGACAGTTCTCAGCCACAGGGGCTCCGGGCCAGCAGCACAAGCCTCTTCCGCCCGAGGGTGGGGGGGAGGGTCATAGCACGCTGTGCTGCGTCATTGAATGCCGCTAGAGAATCAGCCAAGGAGCCAGAGTGATTGAAGTGGGACTGTGGAATACAGGCTTCGGGCCCAGGCGACAGGCCGCAGCAGAGTCCAGCTGTGACTGTGGCCTCCCAGGGCAGCGTCAGCACCCATGGCTGGGAAGGGGCAGGGGCCCTCAGATTCTCAGCCTCTTCCTAGGTAGGGGGTGCCTTGGATGCTTTTCTGCAAAGTAATCAGCTTAAGATAGAGAAAAAATTCTTTTGGCTTGTCTTGAGAAGCCAGAATTTTGGTACGAGTCCCTTAACTCAAATACTGTGTGTGTGTGTGTGTGTGTGTGTGTGTGTGTGTGTGTGTGTGTGTGGCAGGCTGGGGGGCACTAAGGTTCACTATACTTTTGATTTATTGATCACCGACCACAAAAATTTTGAACATAAGGATTATTGCAAACATTTCAAGCATTAGGTCAGGCCAGCGAATGCAGGTAAAATGCAGGGTTAACACCTGTGCTGTTTGGAGTGTGAGAAAGCTTGTGTTTAATGGGGACAGAGTTTCAGCTGGGGGAGATGAACAGTTCTAGAAATGGCCAGTGGTGACGGCTGCACAGTGTACTTGGAAGCACTGACCTCTCTGTTTAGGAGAGACTGATGAGGCAACGTTCATTCTATTTTACTATACACATGCATCTCAGTAACTGCTGTGTGATCTTAAGCAAGTGACTTTACCTCTCTGTGCCTGAGTTCCTTGTAACAAGCAGGGACTAATGATAGAGCATTCACTTACAAGGGTGGTGGTGAGAATTGAAAAAGACAATGCAACAGGCTCTCAGAACAGGTGCTTGTACATCAAAGGGCTCCCTGGATGTTGGCCTGAGACCCAACATCACCGACGCAATCTCATTTCTCATAATGAGCCAAGAGCATTATTCTCGTCAGCTGTCACTCTACAGAGCTGTGGACAGAGGAGGCATGTGTGTTGAGCCGGACACAAAAGTTTTGTTTGCTGTACATTAATTCCAGATCTTAACTCATTTTATTGTTCCTTCTTAGCAAATATTAATCCTTTGTCCTCAGTACACGAAGCAAAATGAAATGGCAACGGGCCAGATGACTTTATCCTTGTGGTCTTGCTAGACTCACTTGTGAAATGAACTGGGTAATATCAGTGGCACCAGGGCCTCCCTGGGGTTCAGTCTCAGCACCGTGATGCTCTCTGCAGCCACTGCAGCCGAGTTCAATCCTGGCCAGGAAGTTGACCCACAGGACCACCCACCTGCAGCAGACCTCTCCTGTCCCACCCACTGCTCCCCTCAGCAGTGTATTTCAGTAGATCCCTCTTTTCTGCTCCTCACTCTGTGTCTGGTGAATCCTCTCACTCCCTACACCATTGGCCTGTACCCCAGTTCCTATCTGCATAGACAAATAAATCCTTAAAGAAAAACAGTGGTTCCTGTAAATGCATGATGAGTGGCCTTTGTTAGAACTCACAACTGTTACTGGGAGCCGGTCAGGCAGAGTCCTGGGTCCCCTGCTGCGGTCACAGGGGGATGGGTAGGGAAGGTGGCAGAGGAAACATTCAGAAATTTCCCATCTCCAAGCAAGACTCAGGGGTCAGGCCCATCAGACTGGTGGGCGAGGTCCCTCCAGGCCTGCAACCTGCCTCCCACCCTGGCCGCATCCCAGAGTGCCTGGCAAGCCCTGGGAGAGGCTTTCCAGTCTGACTGGCCTGGTCGGTGAGAGGTCCATGCTCACGGAGTCCAGGGGGGTGTCCAGGTGACTCTTATCTGCAGGCAGCACTGGGACCCCACTTCTAGAATAGGGATTCTCATCATTGACACTAATGATGGAGGAAGGAGTGCAGGGAGGCATCACAAGACTGAGTCGCACAGAGGGGACAGACAGAAGGGGTCAGTGCAGCAACTGACACAGCCATAAAGTCAGGGTCCTCGGGCACCAAAGCCCTATGTCCAGGATGTCCGGGATGCCTGGACGTCTCCAAGAGGTCCCAGCAGATAGCAGACTGTTGGGGGCTGTGCCTGAAGCTCAGACCCAAAAGGTAAAAGATGAGGACCTGGAGACGAAGCTCATCAGGACATCTCCGGTCCTCTCAAGTTCTACCCAAGCTCACAGGGAGTGAGCCCCTCGAAGGAGAAGCTGCCTCTATCAGGGCAGTCTCTCCACCAGCGCGGGGCAGCCGCTCCTCTGCCCACCTGTGACTATGCAGGTGTTTCCACCCGCTCTCTCCCTCTGCAGGGCAGCAGCCTCCTGCCTGCCAGTGACCTGTACCATGCCGGGACCTCTCTGCACTGACCTCCCTCAGGGGAGGCCGCTCTCTCCATAGGCCGCCCGCCTGCAACCATGCAGGCCTCTCTCTCTGCAAACCTGTCCCTTCAGGGGCAGCTCTTCCTGCCCGCTTGCACCTATGCAAGTGTCTTCCCCTCTCCCGTCTCTTTCTAATCAACTTCCTCTTTAAATATAACTGAGTCTCTGTCTCGTGAAGACTCTCGCCGTGTGTGGCTGAAAGGGGAGCTCTGGTGAAACCTTTCCCAGAGTGAACCCCGGACCCTGAACTAAAAAAACGACATCACTACCAGAATCATTTCCCCATAGATGGTTGCTTCCCCTTCCAGTTTCTGACACAGAAGTCTGAGGTGGGACCCCAGGAACACACATCTCCCTGAAGATGTGGCTGCTGCTGGGCCTGCAGGCATACCTGCAGGACCATGACTCTCTTGCTACCGAGGTGACCGAGGTCAGTGGCAAAGGCCTCTCCCCGGATCTGTCGGGCCGCAGACCCTCAGCCTCTTCTGGGTCTGCTGATTCGAGTGCTAAGCGTTTCTGTGCACAGCAGTTTGACCTGCTCTGGCTACGTCTGGGCTCCTGCTTTCACCTGTATTCTGGAGGGAAGGGCTGAAGGGAAAGGCACGTGTCTCGGGCAGGAAGCAGATGGTGGGCGAGAGGGGTGCCCTGTCCCGATTGGGGGTGTGGGCAGGAAAGGAGCAGGTGAACATGGGGTGGCTACCTTGGCATGGTTGTAAATATCCACGCAGTTGTCGGTATTGATGCTCTTTGCACAGATGATCTCACAGTGTCGCTGCAACGCCTCCAGCTGGAAAAATTTAGCAGCAGACAGAAGCTAAAAAGCAGAAAGAAAGCCAGTCAGAGGCCAGGAGGTAAAAAGGACGGAGGGTGGGGAGAAGAATCCTTCTCTCCTGCAGCAGCATCCCCACTGAAGACACATGGCAGCAACATTCAAGGGCTGAGGTGGGGATCACACTGTCCTGGGGGGAAGGTGAGCGGGGGGTGAGGCCCAGGAGAACCCACATCCAACAGAGCAGGTCTAGAGACCAGGACGCAGCCGTTTAATGAGATGGACGTGGGTGTGGTGTGCCCTCTGCTCACCCCGAGGTGGGTCCTCTCCGCCTCTTCGGTAGCCCCCGACCACCTCCATCTCCAGCTGACCCCTTATTCTGTCTTCTCCCACCAGACATAACGTCATGCCAGTCAGTCTCATGAGGGTCTGGTGGGGGAGGGGCAGGGCTCCCAGAGGCGGCCAGGTCAGCCACTAGCACTGTAAGATGAGGATCTTGCCCTCCACGGTGCCTTCTCGGGGCATGAGGCCCAGCTGTGGAGATGCTGAATATGTGTGGGGGGAGAGCTGCAGGTTTTGGGGAGCAGAAGGAAGAGTTCAAGGGGAATGATAGCTTTTGGGGAAAGGAAGAGGGAGTGGGTGTGGCTGGGTAAGCTGCTTTCTATGACAAGCCTCTCTGTATTACCTGATTTAAAAGCACATTATTTTGGTTTTATAATAATAATAAAGTAATGCTTATGCGGGAGCCCACATCTTCAGGCTGCAGCGTGGTCCTGAGGTCAAGGAGGTCGAGGAGAAGTGTCAGAGTCGTGGTCCACAGACACGAGAATAATTTGGGGTGGTGGTGGGGGGCACCCAGGAAGGCATCCCAGAGTAAGGAGGAAATGATAAAGGGCCTTTAGTGTCAGGCACCTTGGAAGACTTGCAAAAAATTCAAAACCCACGAAGGAGACACCGTTCTCCCGATTTTACTGATGGATGACTAAAGCTCAGAGAGGTCATCTGACTTGCCCAAGATCACACAGCCCGGAACAGGCAGCGCTTGGATGTGAGCCCAGTCTCGTCCCCACCCCGTGGCGCTACGACATCTCCATCAGCCAGGCACCTGGCCTCAGCCTCTCCTGCTCAGACTCGGAATGATTTCGGCTTCAGGTCCAAAGCCAGACCAGCTTCAGTAGGTAACTGACAAGAGCTCTACTTGTAGGAAGGGCAGGGGGAAGCTCGGCTTCGCATAGACAGGAGCAGAAACAAGGTCCTGGGTGAGGGGTGGGGCTTGGGGGTGGGGGGAGGAGAGGGGAATCATGGGGATGGTCACCCTGATGAAGCCAGGAGGGCTCTGTTGTCAGCTTGCTGCTTCTCCATCAAAGGTGCTGTAAGGACTGCTCCAGACGACGTATTTCCCTTACAAATGGCACAGGAGATGAAACAGCTCAGAAAGTTCCTCTGTAGCTGTGCCTAAAGCGAAAGCCTGTCTCTGCTGTACACTGGCTACTCCCCAGGCCCGCTGGAATTGGGTTTTGGGCTGCCTTCCTACCTTCCTAACTCCCTGGGAAGCCTCTTGCTTGGAATGTTTAAGGAGGAGGCAGGCCCCCAAACCTGCATTCAAATAAAACCACCCTCCACCTCCCCCACGTGCCATGAGGCGACAGCTTCCTTACCTCCATTATCTCGTTGTTTTTGATGAGAAGTGACTCCGGGCCACCGTAGTAGAGATACTGCATGACCAGCTGGAAGAAAGGACATGGTGAGAGGTGTCCACACACCTGGGCACCATCACCAGCCGTGGGTGCAGCCTCCTGAGACCCTCACCCCTGCTCACACTGGCCCCTGTTCCTGCGAGATCCCGGCCATGCCCGAGACCACCCTTCCTTACAAGAGAAGCCTATTTCAAGTTTTATCGACTGGATACTTGTCCTTCTAGTCTGCTGGAATCTGTGTTCCTGTGGTCTCCCTGGCTTCGAAGTCCCCCCTCTGCCCCCCACCCCCAGGCCAAATGTATCAGTCCTCGGCCCTGCTTCCCAGGATGGTGGCCCCCACTTGAGGATGAAAACCATGAGCTATTTCCCCACCCCCCATCCCAGGCCAATCTCCTGGGAATGTGGCCCAGCGGGGCCCCCAAGTTTCTTGTTGCAGTCCCAGGGCAGTAGTGGGCTCTCGGGGAACACCTCCTCCTTACAACATGACAAGGTCCAAGATGAAGCCATCAGACACCCAGGGCTCGTCAGTTGATGGACATTTGGGCTGTTCCCACTTTGGGGCTATTACGATTCTTGCCACTACGAATTCTCCGGGATCACTTTAATTTTCTCACCTGCCATTCTGCCCTTCTCACCTCCTCGTCTTGGTAATATCTGCCTTTTATACTCGGACCACTCCCAGCCACTTGCCTCTGCCAGAACCCACCACCTTTTCAGCCCCGTGCTTTCACCCACGCTGTTCTCTGCTTGGCCACCTTTCCCTTCTCCTCCACTGCTGAACTCTGTCCCCTCATTCAGGATGTAGCCTAGTGGTCACCACCTCTGACCTGCTGCAGATGTGTTCAAGTCTGCCGGCGCCAGGCAGTTCACAGTCCATGGCTCCGTGCCCTGGCACGGAGCGCAGTGTCTGCACACAGCAGGGCACTTGCAACAGAAATATGGCCCCTCCTTCCCCTCCTCATTCACGTGTGAGTCTCCCACGGGTGTACTGGGCTCTGCAGACACCTCCTGGTCAGAGGTGGTGGTGGGTGCTGGTGGGGGGCAGACGCAGTGTGAAGTAACAGCGCCCTCTGCCCTCCCTCCCCTCCCCCTGCTGGGCCACCGGCGTCTGAAATAGCGCATCAGCGAATGCGGGGATATTAGCCTTATTAAAATCAATTTATTCCCTGGCACCATTCTTTGATAAAGGCTACACCGCTGATAATAACAGTGAGAGTCCTAATAACAACTAACTGCCCGAAGCCCGGAATTTATAAAGCGCTTCTCTGTCGCGCTATCTCATTTATTCAGGATCGGGTGCTCCACTCTACACACGCCTCTCCGTAACGGATGGAGATCCCGGGGCTAATGGAATTTAAATTGGGCTGTCCCATGCCACCTTCCGGCTCTGTCAAAGCACGCCTTTTCTGCAAGAGGGCGAAGCAGGCCTTTATTAGGCCGCAGGGCCTGTTTACGGAGTTGTTTTACTTGGCAGCTGCCAGCCTGCATGAAGCAGGGATTTAAATGGCGCCCACAGCCTCACGGAGGCCACTGCCAGGTGCAGCCTCAGCTGGTCCGGCCCTTGCCGGCGTGTGATGTTAAACAGTCGTGGGGGGAAGGAAACTCGAGGCAGCCTCATTTACGAAAATTCTTCTGTCAGCACTGAGGTGAAGTGAACAGGCCCCTGGGAGCCTCCTTCTGGGTCAAATTCAGCCCTTCTTGGCCTATTTCAAGCCGCAAATGAGGCTTTTCTTCTTTTATGGGGAAGGGGTGGGCACAGGGAAAGTCCCGAGGGCCTGCTAAATCCTTCCTTCCCATTACAGTAACTTGAGGCTAACGTGGCCAGAAACCTTCCCCAGTCAAAAATAATTACAGGCCTGGGATTCCTGCTCGTATCCTCTGCCATGCGAGGCCCTGTTCCACGGGCCTGCCCAGCAGACATTTATACAGCACCTTCTGTAAGTCGGTTCTTGTTACAGGAACCTCCGAATTCGTCCCAGGCTCAGCGGGACCTCAGAGCTGCAGGAAATGTGCCTCTTGTAGCTTCCAGCTCAGGCTCCCAACTGGCCTTTGGCCTGAGGCTCTTTCTCAGGGTCTGGGTGAATCTTAGGGACGCTCTCGTCCCCATGGTAGGGAAAGAGATTAGGTCTTGGGGGGTTAGTCAGGTCTGGGTCTGGACCTCAGCAGAGGCCTGGGCCACTTCTTCACTTGAGTTCCTGCCCTGCTGGTGAGGTGACAGTTTGTGGGGAGCTGGAAGGATGGACTGAGGTGAGCTAAGCAGTGGTTCTCAGAGTGGGGCCCCCTGGGTCAGCAACATCAGCATCCCCCAGGTTCTTGTCGAAATAGGAATTCCTAGGCCCTACGCTGGGCCTACAGGTGAGCTTTGGCAAGGGGCCCTGGACCTGGAATTTAACAAGTGTTCTGTGTCTCAACAAGCTTTCACACCCTCATCGGCCCCCAACCCCTGCCCCGGGGGATTCTGATGTCCGTGAACCATAAGGAGTGCCCTCGGCTATTGGCTGGCATAATAGGAGGAGGGAGGTGGCCTCACCTGCTGTGGCCTCAGCCACACTCCCACTCTGATTTAGGGCTTAGACTCCAGGAATCTCCCAACTTGCAGCTGAGACCGAGACCTGGTTCAAGGTTTCAAGCCTTTTACACAGCTTGCACTCATAGCTAGCGCTTGTTATTAACATTATTCCCATTTAGAAAGGGCTTTCTCCAAGCCCTGGCTTCAAGGATAAAATTGCGAAGAACAATCCAGGTAACCACAGGCAAGCCAAAGTCAGTGCCATGTTCACAGCTGCAGCTTCATAAAGACTTCACCCCTCCTCACCCTGACCCGAAAGCGAGGCAGCAATTCTATGGAGACTTCAAACCACAGCCCAACAGTGGCTGAAGCCACTTTGCTGCGTAGAAAATGCGCTGAGGGGCTGGAAAGGGGGGGGCAAAAAGCACTGAGGGTGTGGCAACTCTCCAGGCCCACCTTGGGGTTCAGCTTCCCCTCTGCTACCCCCACCTTGTGGGACGGCTCACCCAGGCTTGGGTTGTCTTTGAAAACATCTGCCACCCCTCCCCCGCCCTTAGTCCAGAGGAACCTCTCTCCGGGTAGGTGCTGAGCAGGGAGCTCTGTGGCTCATCAGCTATGGCCACAGTGCAAACAGCCACGAAGCACCAGGTGCCACGTTGAATAGTTTCTCAAGTTCTATTTGTTCATCAGCACGAGACCCAAAGGTGTTACTGGGTCACTTGTTAAAAAATGGGGATAATGAAGCTCAGGGAAGATGATCTTGCTTGTGGTTATGTGGGAAGGATTCTGTACTTTGAAGTTTAAATCATAACCAAAGGAACGTATCTCTAATGTTGGAAGTTCAGGCATCGTAACAGACTTCAGGGCTCATGTGTGCACATCTGGCTTTCCTACAGCCCTTGAACAGCAAGGTGGGAGACCAGGGTTAGGGGTGGAACAGCCTCCTCCTGCCATGGCCCGTGGTCTGTGGCCTCAAGGCATCTTCCTGGTCACCAGTACCCCTTAAGACCCAGCCAGATGGTCCAATAATCACTTCCCCTCACACCCTGCGATGTCGGTTCTGTGCCATTTATGCTGGCGCTCCACCTGGAATGCCCTCTCTCCCCAAGATCCCGGACGGGGAAATGGGCTTAGAAAACAACTGGGCCATCTGTCCAAGGTTACCTGAGGGACACTGATTCTGAACAGGGTGACAGCTGTTTCGGCAGGATGCAGAGTTCAGACTGGGAGCCACCCCGCCCTGGTCTCCGCCAGCCCTGTGTCCGGCTTTTCTGAGCCGTCTCCTCAACCGCGTGGAGACGGCGTCTTCCTCACCTGTACGCTCTCCCCAGGGCTTTCTTGTGGGACTGACCCGGTAGAAACAAGGTCCCTCAGAATCCGCTGCCCCCCCCTACCCCCGGACTCCCAAACCGGTTGTCTGACCATGGCCGGCAGAAGGACAGCGCTGTGGCCTCCGGCTCCCTGCTGGCCTGCCCTGCATGGAGGCTGGACCCCTGCAGTGTTGGCTCCAGACGGGAGCTCTAGAAACGCGGGCCAGAGAGCTGTGAGGGGTGTGACTGTCCCTGCAGGGTCTGTGAGCCAGGCATGAAGGAAGGAGGGCAGGGAGGAGCTGCTGAGCCCTCAGCAAGGCCCACTAGCCACATCTGTCATTCATGGGGTCGACATCCCCCAAAGGGAAGGCAAAGCGAACTTCCTTTTCCAGTCACGTTTGCATTCCAGGGTTCAGACCAAAGTGAAACTGAACCCCCTGGTCCTGATGACTCTTGGCCACTTCCGGGACTTCTTACCTGCTCTTCTCCCCCTGAGAGTTTCCAACCCCTTTTCTTCAGTCCTAACCCTCCCTCTGGCTCACCACCTTCTAGTATTCCGTATTTTAGCTCACAATGCCTCATCCAGGGGGTCTTCCCTCGTCCCCCTGTTCTGGGTTGCCACCACAGATCAGTGTACCTGTTATGTGCACCCCCTGTGTTAGGACAGATTACTCAGTGACCCCCTCCCCCCCGGAATGTGAGCTACCAGGACAGGAGTGTCCTCTGTCAGGCGCTCCAGATCCAGCACTGTGACTGGCACACAGCAGGTGCTCATTCAATGCTGCGTGGTGTCTGGGTGGCCAGTGGGAGGGGGGGCGGGCAGGGGGAGGTGGGAGGGTCCTGCGGCAGCTGGGCTCACCTGGAAGATGGGGTACTTCACATAGCCGATCTCAATGCAGGTGCTGTCGTTCGTTGGTTTGCTGGAGAGGAGCGCTTTGAACCTGAACGAGACACACAGACTCACAAACGCAGCCATTCCTGGCAAGCAGTCAGCTCTCTGATGTGAGAGTCAGGCTGTGTCCCGTATCCTGTCCATTCTGAAGCCCATCCGTGACTGGCCCTAAGGTTCTGCATCTTGCCCACTCTCCACGTGAGCCGTAATCCAGCTTGAAGTTGGAACCAGAGTCTGAACCTTACCACAGAGTCACCGTCACTCCTGAGTCAGGGAGGGGACCATTCAGGCAACTGAGCAAGGGGCCTCACACAGCGCTTGCCACCCTGTGACTGGCTTATTTCATGCCCCATAATGCGCCCGACTTCACGCGCCTTGCAGTCTGCCTTGAAGGTGGATGATCTACATACAGGCGGCATTGAGCCCACCTTTCCTCCACGCACACCCCTGGCTGTGCCCACCTTTGTCTTTGTGAATAACGCAGCTCTGAACACAGGTGTACAAATGCCCTACACTCTTGAATCCCTGATTTTGAGAAGATAATCTGCCAGCTCAGGGAAGATACCGAGTTTCAAAGCAGAGTAATAGCCATGGCCTCAGCTATAACTCAGCTGCTCTCAACACTGCTGGTACATACCTTGGCGAGGCTGTAAATAACAGCACTTTGTGAGCATAAAACGGTCTTCCTTCCACCAGAAAGGTAACATCAGACATTTCTTTATTGTTAAGGAAATGAGGATCTAGATGAGAAGAGGGAGGAAGAGCTGCTTTAGTGGAGAGAAGGGAGTAAGTCTCGATTTTTCTTTTGAAAAGTGCCAATAGGAGCAGACAGGGAAATCAGGTGATACAACTCTCTTTGCTGAGACAGTGACCAAGCCAGGGACGGAATCAGTGAAGGGACTCAAGTCAGTGCTTACAGCTTCACAGAAAATCTCCATCATTCATTTGTGATTAAAAGTGGAATTTCCCTGCCCAAAAGTAGATGACTGGATTAAAAAGATGTGGCACATAGACACAATGGAATATTACTCAGCAATCAAAAAGATAAACACATGCCTTTTGCAGCAACATGGATGGAGCTGGGAGGGATCATGCTTAGTGGAATAAGCCAGAAAAAAAAAGGGAAATACTGGGTGGTTTCACTCATAGCAGGGGTATGAAGGACCAGGGAGGAAAATAATAACAATGAAAAACTATCTACCAGAGACATTTTATGGAGGTGGGGTGGGGAATGGGATCAAGAACAGTTGGGGGAGGGAAGTGCACTGGACTATGGTGATGACACAGGGTGATTTGGTGATGGGAAGCCCATGGAGATTATAACTGAGATTTTGGAAAAAGGCACAAATGATGTAAAAATACACATATTATTTAAAAAAAAAGCAAAGGATAAAAAAAAAGTGGTATTTCTCATCAACGGCTCACTCAGTGCCTTAGTCAGACGTCTGGCAGGTGTGAGAGGTAAGTGTCTGCTCACTTTGCTTCTGAGGTGCCGCCACCCCACTCTGGCCCCTTCTGGGGCTCAGTGCCCTGGCCACTTGGTTACCGCTAAGTCCGGGACTGTAACCGGGGTTGTAACACCTGTTACTGTAATTGGGCTTTATCATACACTGCACGGGTGACCTGTTAGCAAGTAGAAACACTGTGGTTTGGGCGTACCCTGGCCTGGCCATGGGCTAGTTCGCAGACAGTCAGTCCACCTTTGGCTCCACGGCTGAAGTTTTCATTTTAGCAAAAAGTGGTGTCATTGAAATGAACCAGCTTTGTGACAGGAATAAAAATACTTTAGAACAGTCGTGCAAATCAGTCTTTTCACTCATGTAAACTAGTCACCTGTTTCAAAAGGACTGGTTTTGTTAGAGTATTTTCAGATGCTCCCATCTTCCAAATGTTTCCCAGTCCTGGTAGGAAAAGGAAACAGGAAACTTTCCCAGACTTCACCAGAAAATGAATCCTTATCTTTAATATCTTATAACGCTCTAGGAGCAGAGACAGGTCCTGATGACAGAGGGTTAGCTTTCAGCCTGCAAGGCAGTCAAGAGTTCTCTGCCTTTTCCCCCAGGCCCATCACCCAGGCTGCAGCAGCCCTGGAATTCTTGGAAGAAAGTCGGTGCCTGAAGGAAAAGCTAGAAAATTCCAGAACCTGAGACTGCAGAAGGATGGCACTACAGTCTTGGGAAAATCCAGGGCATGTTCCAGCCCTGCCAGGGTGGGTGCTCAGGGCCGCAGTCTGCAGCCACGACAAGGCATGAGCAATGCTGCCTGCCCCCTGGGGGCCGGAGGGTGCCCTGAGCCCTTAGGGTAGGTCGAGGCCAGGGCAGCTCAATGCAAGTGTCCAAGAAGGGCAAGCAGTGAGCCTCGCTATACCTGTAGGATTGCGGAGTGCCGGATTTCTTCAGCTCAGGTATGCTCCCCTGTGTGTGTGGATGCGTGTGTGTGAGCACCTAAGTGCCCACTAGCTCCACTCTCCTAGCTCCCTGCGGGGCCACAGCTGGCCTGTCACCGCCTCCTGCTCATTCCTCCTCGGAGCAGTAGGGGTCTCAGGGAGAACTTGGCTAGAGCCGCCAAGCACAGCTCCGCTTTCTTGAGGCGGACGGCTGAGGCCCCCGGGCTCCATCACGGTCTGTCTCTGGGGGCGATGGTCCCGAACTGTAGTCCGCAGACTTTTATCACACAACAGAGCAGAACCCGACTTTCACCTGCCTGACTCCTGTTTCTGGCTAGCCCGTTGGTTCCCTGCCAACCTCGTTCCCGCTTCCCTCCCTCCTAGAGGACTTCTGGTTTCTCTGTCCCTCAAACAGCAAAGCAAGAGCCCAGACTGGCCAGCAGTCAGTGCCTGGGGCAGCACTCACCCAGGCGAGAGGTCTGTTTGCGCTTGATCTCGGTGAGCTTGGGGATGGGGTAGGGCCCGTAGCAGTGAGTGAAGATGACGCACAGCTGCTGGCTGATCACTTCATTCTGCAGAGAAAGCGGCTCACCTTGCTGAGGCTGTGACGGTCGGGTGTCCCCAGGCCAGAGGCGCACACGGACTTATCACAGGCCCCAGTGGAAACTCCCCGGATATCCGAGCAGGTGGCCCTGGCAGGCCCTGGAGCTGCTTAGAATGCTCGTTCTCTATTTCTAGAGAGTTTGTGGATCAACCCTTAATTTGTAGTTAAAGTGCTTCTCTCCTGCCTTCATCGTTTACTAATGGCTGAAGAGGAAGTTTTGCAACTCACAGAATGGAAAGTAAGTTTTTGTCCCACAAACACCTGTATCAATACTCCAAAATTCTGGAAGCAGCTAATTATCTTGCAAATAGTAACAGGCTCCCCATTACTAAGACACAAGGGCTCCTGATTTAGCTTTCTTAGGAATTTGATTCTGGTGCTGAGGCATTTCCGGACCCAGGAGTGCTCAGCTGAATCACTTTCTTTTCTTTTTCTTTCTAAAGATTTATTTATTTATGCACACAGAACTGGGGTACAGGCTTGAGGTGCAGGAGCAGTGAGAGGATTCACTAGAGACAGAGTGGGGAGCAGAACAGGCAGATGGACACTGCTAAGGGGAGCAGCGGGGAGACAGGAGAGGTCTGCTGCGCCATGTGGGTCAGCTCCCTGGCCGGGGATCCAACTCTAGCTGAAGTGGCTGTAGCTAGCTTCCCACTACTGTGCTTTAACCCACTGTCCCACCAGGGAGAACCCTCAGCTGAATCACTTTATTAAAAAAAAAAAATTTTAAATAAACACATAAGTAAAGGCTGGGACTGGTTCTGTGATGCAAAAGTACAAGACTGTGGAGAAAGCACAAGACTGTCGAGGGACACAGGAGCCTGTTTCGAGGGACCCCACCATCACATCTTTCCCCTCTGGGCCAGCGGGTCTAGTCAGTCTCCCTCCAACTGCAGCTGCGCACAAACAACCCCCCCCCAAATGACAGCGTTTTATGCTTTTTGTTGGAAGAAGGGGGTTGAAACTGGGGGCTAGGGAGGGGGCCAGATCGATGTTTATGTTTTTCAAGGTTACAACACAGTTTGTAACTATATATTTTTGGGAAGAAAGCCCTGTGTCTATTTGGACTGACAGACAAATAGAGGAAAAGTTCTGAAAGAATACTGAAACTCTCTTTAAGTGGGATTTGAAGTTTTCTCATTTCTTTTTATCGATATGTTCTACAATAAACAACTACTACTTTTATAACACAGACAATAAATTATTTTTGATTTTAAAAAATAGGGTGAGGACAAGTAATGATGTCAGGTCTTCTGATTCCTATTCCTTATGCATACAGAACTGGGGTACAGGCCAGAGATGCACAGGCAGTGAGAGGATTCACCAGAGACACAGCGGGGAGCAGAACAGGCAGATCTAAGAAGTAAACTGCTGAGGGAGTAGCGGGCGGGTCAGGAGAACAGGCAGATTGCACCGCTGAAGCAGGATACAGACAGCGTAACACATGGAGAGGATCTGACGATGTTGAAGGGTCCCCTGAGGTGCTAAGAGGACAACACCATCAGGTGTCTTACAGAAGCTGCTGGGTGAGCACGTGGGGTGGACTCTGGCCCTTGGGACTCAGGACTGTGTGACCTCTGAACTCAAAAGAATTACGGGAGAGGAAGAGTAATTCTCGCTATCAAGATTCTCACTGCCAGAGACTCTCCTGAGATGGACAAATAGGCATTTTGGGCTGCCATTTTTTTCTCTCCTTCCCTGAATCCCTCACTCTTCTCCAAAACTTTATTAATGATTCAATAACATAAAATGCTTAAAAAAAAAAAAACTAAAAACAGTGGACATCAACATATACAGTGAGGGGTCTAAGGTCTAGAGGAGGGGGAGGGGAAGAGATGAAACATGTTCTGTTCTTAGAGAGGGACCCAGGAATCAATCTCAAAGTCATCTGTAGGTAGCTCGAGTGGAGCTTCTGTGTGGTGGGCAGGCGGCGCTGGGTCCCAGTCCTGGGAGCTGTGTGACTTTAGGAAAGTTACTCAGCTTCTCTGGGCCTTATCCTAAGCAGATTAAAGATACCTGCCTGGTGACAATGCCATGAGAGCTAAAAAGATAATGCACAGTCTATTATTAGGTTGAGTCAAAAGAAATTGCTGATATTTGACGATGGGTTAGCCCCCAAACCAGCAATTTCTTGTAGTTCAACCATAACCATACATTTTTTAGATTCTAAAGTGTCATACAATTAATAGGAGCTTTGACGAAGAGGGAAAAAAGCTCATTGCTTTAATCATACACATTGATTTAAAAAATTATTTCAAACGGAGAAATGTTAAAAGGGAAAAATACTGCATCCAGAATCAAGAAGATGCTGGAGCAGAACTGGAAGGGTTTCTGTCCCCCTGGGCCGAGAAATGAGGTCAGTGTAGAGCCCGATCCTGTCACCCCCTGCCCCCCGGGGCTGTGACCAAGGTGAGACTGGACACACAATGAACTTAAAAGTGCTTCAGGGTCACCTTGTATGAAGCCTTCCGTTCTTTTTATGGTGGTATGTTTTCTTCCTAAACTCATCAAGGGAAGCCAAGTTGATTTAAAGAAAGAATATTCATCTTTCTTTAAAAAAAGATGGGTTAACATAATAGGCTTTCTTATTTCTCTTGAGTTTCTAATTCTGTTTGATAGTTGATAAAAAAAACTAACGCTGTCTGATGTGGTTCTAAATGTAGATAAGTAAAATGCTGGAAGATACTTCGGTGGTAAGTGTGGGCGAGTGAAGGCCATAAAGTAGGTAAGTGTCTAACTTCACTGGAGCTGGTAAAATGATGACGCTCGCAGAATGAAGTCAGGCATGCACTGAAACAGCTATGCACAGCGATACACTCCAAAACACTACATAGAAAGAAAAATGGAATGAAAAATGTTCAAATAATCCACAGGGAAAAAGGAAGAGAACAGGCAGAGAGACCAACAGGAAACAAAAAATCAGATGACAGATGCAAGCCAGGTATCAATAATTAAACAAAATAGAAAAGGTCTAAATAGACTAATTAAAGACAGAAATTGGCAGAGCAGATGAAAAGCCGTTCATAAGAAACTCACTTCTCTTTTTGTCCTTCTCTTCTCTCTGTCTATTTATATCATGAATAGGTAAATTAAAAATGAAAGGATGGGGAAAATAGGCAAATATTAATCAAAGGAAAGCAGGAGTGGCTATATTAATATTTGATAAAGCAGACTTCAAAGGAAAGAAAATTAGCAGAAACAGAGGGGCATTATATAATGATAAAAGGGTTAATTTACTAAGAAGAGACTGCACTAAATGGGTTTCTATCAAACAACAGAGCTGGATAAAAAACTGGCAGAACTGAAAGGAGAAACAGGTACACCCACACTTTTATCTGGAGACTTCAACACCCCTCTCTCAACTTTCAGAATAACCAGTGTGTAGGATACAGGACTCAACAACCCACAGGGTGTGTCACCATTAGAAATCACTCCACCTTTCTGACCACCTTGTCTAAATTAGACCTTGTCTGTGCCTCTCCCGAGATGAAATCACTGCCCAGTTTCCTTTTTTAAAATAGCATTTATCACGCCTTTCACTTGCTCACTTATTTCCTGGCTTATTGTCTGCGCCCCCCCCCCCCCCGACACAGCCAGCTCCAGGAGGGCCGAGGACGTGTGTCCCTGTCACCACAATAGCGTGCAGGGGGCACTCGTGACTTGTGACCAGTGAATAAATGCCTGCAAAAATTTGGTGTGGGAGAAATGGGTCGGGAGCTCTCTTTAAACACATGTATTTAAAAAATGACTACACATGCACACAAGACATTTATCTATATTGTTCTGTGTCTGGGACTGATTAGAGATAGTTAACTACCTTGAAGTTAAAACTTAGAGGTGGGGCCCTCCCTGGTGATGCAAAGGGTTAGGATGCAACACAGCTAGCTGGCTGCAGCTGCTTCAGTGCGAGCTCAATCCCCTGCCCCGGAGGTGACCCACAGGGCGCAGACCTCCCCTCTCTCCCCGCTGCTCCCCTCAGCAGTGTACTTCATCAAGCTGCCTGTTCTGCTCTGCTCCTGGCTCTGTCTCTGGTGAACACTCTCACTCTGATGAATGCCCCTGCACTTCTGGCCTGTACCCCAATTCTATATTCATAAACAAAAGAGCTCACCTTAGGTTTCACAAAAGGAATGAAGGAGCAAAGTCAAGGCTGGGAAATCACATACTCTATAGGACAGTCAAGAGTTGACAGTCAAGGGAATCCTATATTCTCACCCATTATACTGGTAAAACCAGATACCTGTTCACCCAGAAGAGCAGACAAGTTTTGAACAGGAATCTTTTCCTGGAGGGAGAATGTATGACTGTTTCTCCCGGCCAGGAGGACGCTGAGGGCAGAGTTTTGCACTTTCTCAACTGTCTAATTTCTCAACTGCCATCTGATCTGTCCCGTATTCTTTAACCGCAGAAAGCTCACCAGGCTTGGGGAATGCTTATTCTCACCGGCCATTGAGCGCCTCCTCCCCACTCTGGTCGCTGTATCAGGGTGCAGTACCACATGTCACCAGTAGGGGTTGCCACTGAACGCCTGTGAGCGCAAACCCCACTCAGCCCTGGAAGCGCCTCCCTGCCAGGCTGCCAGTTACCCAGGAGGAGATGCCTCTGCTTCATTCCAGCTCCCCTGGGTCCAGTTTCCAGGGAGTAGAATTTAGTCCACTTATTCTGGCAAAAGGTCCCTCCTCTCCTCTTCCCAGCCTCCTCCTGCTGCAGCCCGAGCTGTTGGCTGCTCTCTGGAGTGGTGGTAGTCGTGGTGGTCGTGGTGGTGGTGGTGGTGGGGTTGGGGGGAAGGAGGCATTAGGGTCTGGTGGGTGCCGATCACACAGGTGGGTTCACCTTGTGGCAGTTCATCGGCTCTAGCGTTGTGAGCTGGGCTCTTTTCTGTATGTCACACTAAAATTCACTTTAAACATTTAGAGATGAGGTAAACTTCACACAATGGATGCCTCAGTAATATCTGCATTCACACTACAGCCCGAAGAAAGAAGAAAAAACCCAAACCAGATAGCGGCTAGACCACCAGATCCCAGGAATAGAGTAGGGATTTTTTTTTTTCATTAAGTGGTTTCCTAAGGTGAGAGACCATCTCGCCATAACCATTTATCCACCTAACCATTATCTGTCTGTCAGTCTGTCTAGCTACACATTATCTACCTACCTGCGTACCTGTCAGTTTATCTAATCTATCTTCAAGCTGGAGGGAGGAATGAGGGGTGAGAGGCAGGAGAGTTTGATTTCCAGACACTTCCAGCAGGTTTCCTTCTAAATGCAATTGCTGAAGTTCATTATCTGAGGGCTGGCACACCTGCTCCCATTTTGGGTCCTGGTGGGGTGAACATGAAGCATAAATCCAGCTCACAGGGGTCCCTGAGACTCCCCTTAGGGACGGGGCGCTAATGAGCAGACCTAATGGGAATCGCTAGATGCCTGCTCCCCCTTCTCTCTCTATGGGGAACCACATTGTTCTTCTGATTCTGGGGCCTATTTCAGCATTCCATAGTCTATTCTAGGGTACAGGGGTACAGGGCTGGTGCTGGAGTCCGTCTGTGTGGATTTAATCCAACTCTGCCTCTTAACCAGCTGTGTGATCAGCAAGTTATTCACGCTCTCTGTTGCCCAGTTTCTCCATTTGTTAAGTGGGGATAGGACAGTATTTCCTTCAAAAATTGTTTATAAGGATTAAGAAAGTTGATTCTTATAAGGGGCTTAGAATTGCACCAGGCTTATGGTAAATGTGAAATACATATTTCAGCTTAAAAATCTTCATTTGTGTCTTCAGACAGGTTATTATAAAAGGGTTCTGAGCTCAACTGAATTTGGGAAACTGCCTTTGTGAATTAGGGTATTTTCCTGAAGACTCTGAGTTGACAAATTGGGGTGACCCAGGTTACCCCAGGGAGAGGAGCTGACATTCAGCCCTGATTGGTGCCCAGGCTATAGGGGGATGTTATATATTTGCTTTCATCCCGACTGAGGGGTGCCTTTACAGCCTTTGAGGTATACTGGGAGCCTGCCCTTGGCCGGACCATCTTTATGATAGAAATCATCTAGAAACACGAGCTAGTGACAGGGTCAATGTGAAGGACATTGATTCATTTTATCTTTATAACCAGCCCAAGAGATTAATCGAATTATTGGCTCCACTTTTCCAATGAGGCAGGGGTCAGCAAAGGCTGGTGAGCAGCAGGGCCAGGCTTGAACCCTCACGTTTGGCTCTCACGCCCGTGTGCCCAACCAGACTGCTCCCGGACCTGGGGTTGCGGGGCCCGTAGAAGGCCTCGGGTAACGTCCCCTGGTATCTCTACCTGCCCTGCCCTGGGCTCCCACCCATGGTGCCTGGCGGGTGGGCACGCCAACGCTGGTCATTCCCAAAGCCCCAACACATGCCCGAGGGGGCTTAGAGGGCTCAATCTCACAATGACCCAAAAGCTGGTGCGATGTCTGAGGGGTGCTGGAAATGGAGGTGCCCCAGGGTCGAGGAGGCCAGTGAGGAGGGGCGTGAGCTAGGGGCCTCCCCTGGACTCCTTTGTCCACCAGGCCAGCTCTAGCCATCCTCGCCCCTCACCCTGTCAGGGTTCGCGCACCCAATTGAATATATTTCCCACCCTCCCATGCTGTGTGTGTGTGGGGGGGGGCACAGGTTGCTGTGATGCCCCCCACTTTCTTGCCAGTTCCCTGGGTTAAAGGGCACCTTTCCGTTTTGTCGCCCTGCGCCTTGGGGCTGCGCAGGGTCCCAGCTAAACCGCTGCCTTAGCCAGCAGGGGTGCAGCCACGGGCAGGGGCCGCAGCAGGGCCCCAGGGACGGCTGGAAAGCCAGGCCCTGCTCTCAGCGACACCCCCACGGCGCTGAGCGCCTCTCACCTTGCTGGCTTTCAGGATCTCAAACATCAGGGGCAGGCCCTGGGTGATGAGCTCCTCCGTGTACTCCTCCTCTTGAATGGTCTTGAATTCCTTCAACAGGCACTGGATGAGAGGCCTGCGGTGCTGCTGGAAGGCGATCCTCAGGGACTCCAGCCACGTGTGCAGGGTCCAGGGGACGCCTGGGGAGGACAGCGGGGAGCCGGGGAGGGAGGGGCAGGCAGAAGACAACCGGAGGAGACGTGCGTTTTTATCTGGAAGCCGCCCTTCCCCGGGGCCTCACCGAACTATGGGACCGAGAGGCCAGGCCTGGTGTTGGAATCCCCCAAAGACTCGCAGAATGGCGCGCCAAGGTCCTCGCTCCATTCCCGCACCCTGGGGATCCATTTCTGCACACTTCTCATATGCCAGGGGGCATCTGACAACACAGGATCACGGAGCCGAATGCAGGAATTACTCTGCACGCTGCTCATACAAATCACATCTGCGAGCTCCGACTCGATTCATCTCCATGGCCTCGGCTCTCTGAGGAGAGAGCAGCTCAGTGCGGGGAAATCTTGGCCGGATTTGCCAGTCCATCCACACCCGGGCCGGCGGCCTAGAGCTGGACCTGACATCAACTGCTGGGCACCCACACAGAGGGACACGGAGTGAGAGGGGCCTGCCGTGCCCCTGTGCCAGTGTTATCTTCACCTGCAGGCAATTCAGCAGCTCGTCCTCCGTGAGCAGGAGGCCTCTCCAGCAGCTGATTGCTGTGATCTGCTTCCCGCTCTCGCCGGGAGGCCCAGAAGGGAGCACACACCTCGCTGCTGCATAACAAGCCAACCTCTCCAGCTCCAGCTTCATAATCACGCTAACGGGGTTCTCGGGGTGACATCCCACACACCAGACAGCCTCCCCTCGAGGCAGACTTTTTCCCAGAACGGTGTGTGTATGTGTGTGTGTCTCGGGGGTGTCTCAGCCTGCCCTGCCCTGCCAAAGCCTGTTCACACCAGCCCTGCTGTTCCTCCGCCCGGGCTGCCCCCACCAGGCCAGTGCGGGTCAGGTTAGCCTGGTCCCCAGGCTCAGGCCCTGGGCAAGCTCACTCCAGGCAGCTCCATCCTAACTTTTCCCGAGGGCGGCTTTGCTCGGGAGCTCAGCGTGTGGACCCCTGCTCAGGGATCAAGCGGTCCCTCGTCCTGACAGTCGCCTGGCCTCCTTTATGGCTTCCGGGGAGCTCGGGCAGCGATTCTCCAACCACTGGGAACCACCTGGGATGGTTGTTAAATATAGAGATTTCCAGCCTTTATCCATCCAGACCCTCGACGACAGAGCCTCTGGGTGTAGGGCCTGGCAATCTGTATTCACACAAGCTCCCAGGTGATTGAAATTCCTAGCCCAGGGTCCAGAGTGTGGCAACCAGGGGAAGGTGATCTGCGGGTGGTCAGGGGCTGCTGCCCATAGGGCAGAGTGGCCAGCCAGTGAGAAGCTCCAGGCCCCCGGGTGTGTGCGCATGTGTGTGTGTGTGTGTGTGTGCGCGTGAGACCTGCCCCACCCAGTGGCGAGGCTGCCTGCACTGACCTATGCTCCTGATATCAATTGTGACATCCACGTAGCCATGCTCAGCGCTGTGATACATGGCCTCCCTCAGGGCCCTCAGTTTGGCCTTGCTGTTTCGGCTGGTGCAGAGGGGGGGCGGGGCTGTTTCCGCCAGGTCAGTCCCCTCAGCCAGAATCTCCTCCAGGGACAGGATATCGCTCTTCTCCTTCTCTGGCTGAGCGAGCAGTTTGCGGAACACATTCCTGTCAATCACAAACCCAGAGAGGAAGACACTCAGAGATGGAAGGGCTGGGTGGGCAGGGGTGGGGTGGGTGCAGCCCGGAGACCCATCGCTAGGGACAAGGGTGTGGTGGGCCCCCGGGGGGTTGGGGGGGGCGACAGTGATTTTGGAGATCTGACCACTGGGGTCATGTTTGGGGGATGGATAACGCCACTGGCTGTGCTGCCTGGGGTCAGCTTAGAGCTAGGTGCTTTTCTCAAATATTTTCTCTAGAAGGTTCTAGAAAGCTGCCCTTTTTGGAGTCGGCCTGCACGCCTCTGGGAGGGTGGGGGAGTTATATGTAGCGATAGCTGACCAGTCCATCCTGAATGAAATGCTGACTGGGAGTGAACAACGTGAGAGGCTTTGTATTACTTTTTTCAATGCGTTCTTCTCCCGCCTGGCCGGCCAGCGTGGGGTACTGTGATGGAAACGGGCGAGGGCAGTCTCTGTGAGGCGACGCCAGCCAGTGGGAGTGGATGTGCATTGTGTGGAGCTGGCTGGTCAAGGCCACTGTGGCCAGGCCTGGGGCCTGGACTGCCGGTGGCCCCACATCCAGAGCTGTGATGGTCTGGGGTAGGCCTGGGAATCTGCATGTTTAACAAGCACCACTGGGGCCTCCTGGCTTTGGCCCAGCCTAGCCTACCTGTGTCCGTGGGCTGCGGCCTGGCTGAAAGAGTTCATATCACCCTGGGGGGTTGTCGAAATTCCATTCCTGTACATGGTTCCTATTAGGGGGTCGGCGCCACGCTCCAACAGCAAACTAACCAGCTCAAAATTTCCTGCAAGCCCAGAGAAGGGGGTTTTATAAGAGGATAAAGCCAACACTCAGTCACGGGCACGTCAGGGGCGGGAGGTGGAAGCCCCGGGCTGGGGGCAGGCAGCAAGGCTTACCGACGGCGGCCGCCAGCTGTAAGGGCGTTTCGGAGTAGTTCTCCTCGCCGTGCTCCACAGAGCCCTCCACCTTGGCTCCGGCGTCCAGGAGGAGCTGTGGAGGAAAAGCAGCCCTCACCGTGAGGTGTCAGGAAATGAGGTCAGCACCAGGCCCGCGGCCTGCCCTCCCTCTGGTCCGTGTCCACGTGCACAGGGCGAGGGCAGCTGTGTCTCAGGGTGACCTGAGGGCCTCTCGTGTCTTCTAGAACCTCAGCCCACTCCAGATCCTCGGGCAGCAGCGGCTGCCTCTCCGGGAGCGGTTTGGAATGCTGGCTCTCAGGCCACATCCCAGACCAAATGAATGAGAACCTGTATCTCAACAAGCTCTTCAGGGGTTTCTATGTATGGGGATGTTTCTAGAAGCATGGGCCAGAAAGACCAGACAGCTGCAAGACCCCCTCTTTGGATCGACTCTACAGAGCTTTGGGAGGACATAGGTCATGTCTGAGAACCACAGACTCTTGGGTTCTGGAAGATTTTGGGGACCATCTGGGCCAACCAGGGCAAGATTCCCTTCTAGAAGGGATTCTGAGGACAGTTTAGCAATATGAAGTTTCCTGGGGCCTAGGAAGCTCCCAGGAGTTTTGCTTCAGCTGATCCCATTCTGTGCATCCCCTAAAAGATCTGGGAGTCACTTCTGCCCACACTGGGTCCTGGTACAGTGAAGGAGCTGTCGGCACTGCCAACGTAAAGTGGGAACCTGCTGCCTTTCCTACGTGCCCAGGGCCGCCTGAGGGCACGGCCAGGCGGGACTCAGACCTGGTCATCCGTGACTTGTTTCTCGGCAGCCCAGAGGGGCCTGACTTTCGTTCGACTTTGCTCAGCTGTCCACCGCGCTCGTTCCTGACTCAAAGGCTGGGGATGCCGGTGCGTGCAGAGGGGTGGCATCTGTGCCCACCAGGCCACCCTCGGACCCCTTCTTTCTCAGATCCTTTACTAGGATGTTCTACAGGCAGAACCCAGCTCGCCCAATGGCCCGTCACACACTCACCTTCCCAAAATAAGACTGTACTAATTCCCGTGACCTAGGAAACAACCTGTGAACAGTCCCCGTAACGCTCCATATTTCCTGCTCTGCCCCATGCTCAGGCTCATGCTCCCATCAGAGGAGGGGGGTTCCTGATGAACCCGAAGTTCAGCAGTCACCATGGGGCAGGCGTGGGCCAGGGGCCCGGATGCTGGCCACTCTTTACTGATGAGCTGAAGACCAAGTTCAAGATCTAGACGGTGCTGGATGGCAAGACACCGAACACCAACTCTCAACAGCCAGAGAAGATGCAACAATATGCAGCATTCACCTCCCAAAGGGCCTTTGATGGGGACATTTCTCCATATGTGGAGGGCTGCTCCAGGAGATACATGGGAAGGCCCTGCTCCTGACATCTAGGGCTCAGTCCTCAAGAAGCAGGAGCCAAGCAAGTGTCCTGGAAATGCCCCCTGGCGACTTGGCCACTTCTCTCCACTGGTCAGAGCCCCCTGGCCTCTACACAGTGGTCACCTGACGTAGAGGCTCTAAGGTCTCACGCCAGTCAAGTCTTATGTTCAGGTCCTGATGAAATGAACAAGTCCAAAACATGACAGCTCAGGCCCCACCCTGAGCAGCCGGGGCAATGTGGTAGGTGTGCACTCTGCAAGGGGCTGCTCGAGGCACGAGGCACGTGATGATGTCATATTGGTTAAAGCCGGGCCATCTAGGTCATCACCTACGATACTTTCATTCATATTTAAATGAGCGTGCAATGTGTTTAGTTGCCATTAACCAATATGAGTCTCTCCGGGAATATGCATGCTGGGGAGGCACCGATTTGCATAATGGAAGAGGTGAAAGTCAAGGTTGGGTGTGGATAGGGAAATACGTTAATACCTGAACTACAGGAATATGTCCATGCAACACAGCAAAAGTCAGAGCCGTCCAATGGCGGGTCTCGGGGTGGACGGATGGATATTTATGAGGAGTACTGACAACCTATAAACAAATTGAAGTTATTTTCAAAATGTGACCTTCACAATACTTAGACTAGCAAATTTGACCTATCTGTGGCTAGAGAGGTCATCCGGTAAGGCAGCTTGGGAAATGCTGGCGATGTGGGCAGGACTTGATGCCCTCAGTGGGCAAAAGGACTCCTTTGCTTCTCATCAAAAGGAGTTCAATGGATGACCTCTGAGTGCCTGCTTCTGAGCTGCCTCCCCGAGCTATCACACCGCTATGAAGAGCCAGCTGCTCTCCCGTGTCTCTCCTCTGTCAGCCTGAGGGAGGGCGTGGTTCTCAGAGCGACAGGGTGTAGATGGCGTTACCACCACACCCACCGCTTGGGGGACATTCTTAGTAGCAGCAACTCCAGGGAAGGGGTGGTCTGCCTTGAACTGTCAGGCTAGGAAGACCTCATCTGACAGAGGAATGTCACTATCGGCTCTAGCTCACCCCACTGTCCCCGTTCCACTCTTCCACTGCTTCCTGGTAGGCATGGAGCCACTAGCTTTTGGAAACGTGGGTGCAAGAACTCCCTTGGACAATCATGCCATGAGCAATCTGATATATTCTACATGGGGGCTTCACAGGACCCCAGAGAGAGTCAGTGGGTTGTGAGGATGAGGTCTCACAAGCTCAGTGTTCCTGGGGTCACATAACCACGATGCCTGTTTCATTCAGAGCCAGAGTTCACTGAACATCCACTGGAGTTGAGCTGGAAGCCATGTGATGGACTAGAAAGTCCCAGAGAACTCTGCCAGGACCCCAAGTTTGAGGGCCCTTGGGCTTCAGGGCTGTGTGTGAAAGAGAAATCCCAAATATGTGAAATTTGTAATATCCAAAATGGCTCTGGGTCCAAAACTATGCTATTACTTGCTTTCCTCAGATGACTATAAAACTCACTCATTAAAACAAAAAGGCACAGTATGAAGACTATACACAAGAGAACTGATCTGGAACTAGAAAGGTTTCCAGGTTGGTGAGCTGTAACTGCCACGTGAGGACCCTCCATTCATCTACTGCCAGACAGTGGGGGTTGGGCAGCCTAGAACGTGGTTGGAACGTGGGTTACCACTTAGACAAACCTTGCAGAGGTGGCCGGGCATGACTCCCAAACTTGCACTGGGCATTCTATTCCTCCCAACATCTCTCTGAGACAGGTGTGATTATTATTCTCCCATTTTGCAAATGGAGACACTAAGGTTCGGAAGGTCAAGCCACTTAGCCAAGCACAAAAGCAAAGTCACCAAGAATGGTTGCAGAATCTGAACCTAAGGCTTGAATCCCAAAACGTTGGGGGTGGGCTTTCCACTCCGTCACACCAACTCAAGGACGCTCTGGGATCAGCGTCAGGACCTGTGGGCTCAACTCTGCTGACAAGGTGAGCCCGTGGGGAGGTGTCGGGGAGCGGCACCTCAGCTCCGATGCGCAGCTTGTGTGATGCAGAGGGAAAGGGCTGTTGGCTTGGGGAACTCTCACTCCCCCGAAGCCCACAAGGAGGAATCTGAGTCAGTACCAGGAAAGGACGGTGTTCTGTGGATTGTTTTAAAACGAGACAACAAACAGGCAGCTCCTTGGCTTTGGATGGGCTGGGCCCTCAAGAGGGAGGGAATTTGCAGCTGGTCCTACAGAGACCACAGCAGCTAAAAGGCAGAGGGAGGGTCTGAATGCTGGACTGAGTGCCCCCAGCCGTGGCTCTTGGGACAAAAAGCACCCTCTCTTTGCTTGCGCCCCTGGGATCTGCCATGCCGGGACCCCATGCCCTCTGCACCCTCACCTCCACATTCAGGTCAGCTCCGGCATCCAGCAGCATCTGAACCATCGCCTCGTCCCCACGGACACAGGCATACATCAGGGGGGTCATGCCCTGGGAGGTGGGAACCAGAGAGTGGAGGAGGTTAAGAAGGAGGTCTTGTCACGCAACGACAACAGACAGACAATGTTATGCAAGGGCAGGAGGCTGTGCAAACCCAGCAGCAAAAATGTCAACGTGTAGCCCTGAGATGTCAACGGTGACTCTTGAGGGCACCATGGTCCATGTCCAGAAGGCCAAAATGGAGGCCAGAGGGAACATGGGTTGTGCTTTTCGCATCTGCGTTTGTTGGAGGGCTGTGGTCAATCTGTCCATCCTAAAGCTCCACAGGCCTGACAGTGTTTTCTGAAAGGTAGCTGGTCCACTTACAGTTCTCGGGAACTAACTAGATTCTACGGCATCAACCCGAAGTAATGTAATTGTGAACACTGTTGACAGCCACTCTCGTACAACTTAACAAGCGTCATCTTTGCTGAGGATAAGCTGCTGGCTTTGACCTCCAAGCCCCATCACTGACATGTGGTTTGAAGTCACTATTTATAAACAAAAGGCAAGTGAATGAGGACTGGCTCTCAGGAGTTCCTTATTTGCCCATGATTCCTGCTTATTGCCAACACCATACCATAACCAACACAACTCAAGAAAGGGATGGATTTTTTGATCCAGAGTGTGGTGAGGGCGGCTCTTTGGGAAAATGCTTGATTGTAAAATCTTACCTCACACCATTCCAATATACTAAAATCACTTCTGGTTTGATTAAGAGGTATATTGCAAAGACTGAAACCATGAAAATCATGGAACTTGTCTTGGGATCCATTTTTAGGCATGAAATTAATGGAAAAAATCACCAAAAAAAAAAAAATCATCACAGAATTGAGAACATAAAATGGGAAACATAAAATTAAAAAATAAATAATATATTGAGATAATTTGTCACAATATAACAAAGGGCTGTATACCTAGTATGTAAAGATTTCTTCTAGATAAAGAAGAACTGTTCTTCTTTAGAACTGTTTATAAGCAAAAAGACTAGTAGGGAAAGAATGTAGAACTGGAGGGTGTGTTCAAGAAAACAAAAGTCTGGGGAAATAATTTGAGGTTCAGAACTTTAAGCCACTGTTTCCACTTGGAAGACTTTCCATAGTGAATTAATCAGGGATTTGAACAAAGACTCTTGTAAGTATGCTGAGCTCAGCATTATTGATAAAGGTGACTAGAAACAAGCCAAAATTCAACAACGGAGGTTGGTTAGCTGGGTAAATACTGTAATCATTTTATGTAGCCATGAAAAGTGATTAAAAAAATTCATGATATTGCAAGGGACCTTGAATATAAACAAAATATAAGAAAAATAAGGAATAAAAACAAAATATAAGAAAATCCCCTCACCTGTTTTTTTGTTTTTTTAAATAATGTGCACCTGGGAGTGTGGGGGTGGAGTTGGGGGGCATCTCCCCAGTGTTGTTTAAGAACAATGATCTGCTGCTATTGCTTCCCAGGAACCTGAGGCCGAGCTGCTCAGGTGAGACGCGATTCCACCCCCCCAGTGATTTCCCACCTGGGCTCATGCTGAAACTACTTTTTGTTTTCTCTGTAACATCTTCCCTGACATGTGGAGTGTCCCTAAATGGGTAAAACATGAGCCTTTCACTGAGTCTCACTTTCGGGGCCCGGGGACATGGCTGCCTATCTCTGAGGTGCTTTAGTACCCCCCAGAATGACTTTTGTGTACCTTCAACTCGAGCACTCTGATGGAAATCTGCTGGACTTGTTCTGTGATGCAGTAACAGACCAGCAGGCGGAGAACTAATTTTATCCATGTTGGGAAGAGAACTTGAAGGACACAGACTAAATATAAATATAAATGATGGTTATCTGGGTGATGACATTATTTCCTTTCTGGAATAGGACTATTTTTTCTCTTTTTTCCATTTCAGCTGCAATGATCACGTGTTATTTCTATAAAGATGAATCAGGGTATTTTTGTGAGATATTTTAAAAGCTGGAGGAAAAAAGCCACCCTAAGTCACCAGCAGAGGGAGTCTCTGCCCAGTGCCCAGTGCCTTTTGCCCTGGGGTGGGGGAGCACGTGGTGGGCTTGGGGGGTGCCTGCTCTGACACCCCAACCCTGTACCTGTTCGCTCATGGTGTTGATGCCATCAGGCCCCAGGAGAGACACTGCTTGCTTCACCAGGTCTGTCCGCCCACAGTTCAGCATCCGGAAACCCAGGTCCTGCTTAAACTTGGCTTCGATGGCCACGGCGTCCAGCTTCCGAGACGCGCAGAAGCAATCGTCGGCCCTAGGGGAGGGGACATGTCAGTGCAGTGGGTTCTGCAGGGACCGGTCCTCCAGGGCGACTCTCCTAGCAAGTGCTCTTCATGTGATGCCTGTTCCTAGGCGTCAGTTCTGCAGGATGCTCGCCGTCCTTCCTCCTCTCTCTCCTGAGCCCCCTAGGCTGGGAGGGCTCACGTGTACAGAATGCTTATCACAGCGAGGCCCTCTGTTAAACTCTTTGCACGAATTCATTTGTTTAATCCCCACACAATTCTAAGAAGTAAGTCCTTACCCCCCTGAACCATGGACAGAAACCGGTACAATTAAGGGTCTTGCCCAAGGCCACACGGTCGGTCAGCAGTGAAGCTGGATGTGAATGGCACAGTCTGTGGAGATGCTGCCAGGGTGACCTGTGGCACTGTGCCCTGATTACAGAACATGCCACCACAGGTCCTCCAGCACACCCTTTTGTTAGAATGTTGATAAGACAAAAGTGGGGGCTCCCTGGAGGCACAGGGGTTAAAGCCTCAGTGCTATCAAGCTATCTGTAGCCACTATGGCCTGAGTTTGACCCCCTGGCCAGGGAGCTGACCCACATGGCGCAGCAGACCTCTCCTGTCTTGCCTGCTGCTCCCTCAGCAGTGTGTTTCAGTAGATCCATTTGCTCTGCTCTCCACTCTGTCTCTGGTGAATCCTCTCATCCCCTGCACCTCTGGCCTGCACTCCAGTTCTTGTATGCATAAGTAAATTTTTTAATAACAAGTAACCCCGACTGATTGACTTGAACAAAAGGACATTACTCATTACTTATTTCACTTAAAGTCAGTTTCCAAGAGCTGATGGGTGACATGAAGTGAGGACTAGTGTGTTTGCCTCCTTCCTTGTCTGACCTCCCCACCTGGCTGGGGACTGTCAAGAGTGGTGTTTCCAGAGGCCTGGTGCTGGGCTGTGCACAGCACTGGGTGGTGTTTAAAACATCAGCTGAACAAACACGATGCGTGGGCGTCCACACTCAAGGAGCAGCAGGGCAGAGAACTGGCAGCATGAAGTCAGAGCACCACTGGCAAGGTGTCTGAGGAGTGAACCCAGTGGGAGGGGCACTGCAAGAGAGGCTGGGGGAGCAGGCAGGGGCACCCACGGGTTCAGGGGGATACCAACTCCAACCCCGCTAGTCTACAGGCCAGTGCCTTCTCTAGGGGAACGATCAAGCCGATCAATCAGTGACTAAACCCAATCAGCGAGCACCTGGGCACCTGTTTGCAACAAGCTCTGTCCTGTGCCTGCAGCATGAAGCTACACACGACAGGGCCCTTGCCAGGGTGCCCAGGACCTGGAGGAGAGGAGCTCCCGGTACTGATTGTTGGAACTGTGACAAATGTAGTGGCTGAAGCGTCAGAGACACGCACTGGCCCCAGAGAACTCAGCAGGGCTTCCTGGGGGAGGGACCTCAGAGCTGGGCCTTAAATACGGAGAATGGGGACGAGCGGGCAGAAGAATTCACGGGCAGGGGCAGAATGAGCAAAATCATGGAGATGAGATGTGACAGGCTACATGTGGTAACGATGGAGGTTTCAGTGTTTCTGGGCCATGAATTTCTAGGCAGGCTGCCCAAAGCTGAGGGTGGCGAGGTGGGCAGGGGCCAGGTTAGAGAATCTTTACTTAATCCTGTGGCTCCAGGCTTAAAAATTACTGAACGTTCTTAGGCAGACTGGGGAGAGCTATAGTCTCTAGGAAAGCAAGTGGAGCATGGGCACCCCCAAACGTCTCTACCTGGAGGGAGCTATCTTAGTACTAGATGAACTAGCTGAATGGTCAGAAGGAGCTGCTGGTGTGGGCAGCGGAGGCTGGGACCCGCAGTCTCCTGGGTTCGTCCCACACACTTGCATCTCCGCTGGTCCAGACCCCACCCCGCCTGCTCCCCCTTGTTAACTCAGAGGGAGGCATCGGAGGAAAGATGCCAGGTGCTCAGAACCCCTCTACCACTTCTAGTGAACCCACTCTGTGGCATAAAAGAGGCTTACAGCGTGGGGGAATGACCTTCTTTCTTGTCCTCAGAGGAAATGATAGGGGCGGTTAATCCAGAAAGCTTATGGCACAAAGGTTCCTGTTCATGAGTAAGGCTAGGATGGGAGAGGGCACCAGAGGGGTGAGCCACAAAGAGAATCTCAGGCAGTGGGTGGGATGGATGCGTTCGCCATCCTTCAGTGGGTTCCTGATCGATCGCCTAAGGCCTCCCTTAACATTGTCGGTAGGTTCTTAGAAACTGTGACTAAACAGTTTCAAGCAGGTGCTTGAATAAGGTCATTTCATGTGACATGGGGAGAGATTTCTTTTTCTCATCAACGCTGCAATGAAATGACATTGAATGGAATGTTATTCAAGGACCTTTTTTTAAAAAAAAAATATAATAGTTTACTTTTACATCATTTTGTGCGTTTTTCCATCTCAGTTGTCATCCCCGTGGGCTTCCCATCACCAAATCCCCTGTGTGCCATCACCATAATCCAGTGCATTTCCCTCCCCCCCACCGTTTTTGATCTCATTCCCCACTCCACCCCCATAAATTGTCTCTGGTATATAACTGTTCATTATTATTTTCTCTCCTGGTCTGTTACACTCCTGCTATGAGTGAAACCATTTGGTATTTTTCCTTTTCTTCCTGGCTTATTTCAAGGACCTTTTATGTACACATCATCTCTGCTGACAGAGAAGCATTAGGTTGGAGGGGGTCCTGAAACAGGAGCCCAATGGTAGGGGTTGCTAAGGCTCTCCCCACGAGACATGAGGGATCCTCATGAGACACAACCCCTGGCCACCAGGTGGCACTGATGTAGAGGCGCTGGACTCTAGGTGGGCGGGACCAGCTTGGTCTTGTTTGGGCTGTTACCTGCATACAGGCCTCAGGAACTGGGTGTCAGACCAGGCCTCCAAGGCCCTACTTGTAAGAGAGCAGTGGGGGCATATTAAGAAAGGTATCTGGGGGTGGAAGGGGTGCACAGTGGGTCAGGATCCTAGACTCCAGGACTAAGAGCTTTTCATGGCAGTGGGGGAAGACTAGGTCACCCAACACTGTTGCAAGACTCTCCAGAAATGTCTGAGAGTCAGCTGGGTGGGTGCCGAGGACTCTGGGCCTGGCTTTCGACCCTGGCACCAGCATCCAGACGTGAACTTGCAGGGCAGAGAATGGGTCTGTGTCCTAGTGTTTCTTGGTCCATTTCCTGGCCCAGAATTTGAAGTGGGCTCCACAGTCTGGAATGGAAATGTCACTTTTATCTGCAAAAGGGCAGTTACCTGCCATGATCCGAGGACATAAGGTGGGCCCACGGACCCTGCTGAAAACAGGCAGCACCCATCTCCAGGGGAAGTGGTGAGACGCCTGGGTGGTGTGGGGGGGGCAAGGGTTTCATCAAGGAAGTATGAAGTATGGAGCCTAAGGAAGAAGCTTCAGGTCAAATGAACAAGACAAAGAAACGCGTGAGAGCAACAGTTGAGGTCTGGGGCAACACTGCAGAGGATTCCAGAGGGATGTGCGTGTTGCATGATGCACGTACACACACACACACACACACACACACACACACACACACACACACACACACCCCTTGGGGAGGATTCAGACTTGCTGATTGTAAGGACAACCTTTCTTCGAACAGACCAGCATCTGGCATCTTTGCGAACTCAAGAGCCTCCTTCTTGGGAGCAAAGAGCTGGGCCCTGTCCTGTCAGTGAATCAGCCACTTCTCCTTTCCTGTCTATGTCAAAATCTCGTCTGCTATCCTCAATGTCTGCTGGACTCTCTCAGATAAATATTTTCCTCCCACAGTCAAACCTAAATTCCACATGCCTGGAATCGCATAAGCCCTGAGTGGGTGCAGGCACCTACTGTGTGTGGGCACCCTGCTAGAGGTGATGGAGGGCCCCCGCTGGGTTCACCGAGTTCCTGGGCTGGTAGACCAGTAATCCCCACAATGTCAGGCAATGTTTTTTACCAACTATGGAGATCCTTGATTTTAATTAGAAAGGGGCAAAAGGAAAGAAAATTACTGCAGCTAAGATGATGACGTTAATTGCTATTTTAGGAGTAACCTTGATGGCACACTGCTCCTAAAACCTCCTCTCTGTCCACCAACATATATTGTGACCCAACAAGCCCACGATGTAGGAGCTGTCAAGAGCCAGGGGGAGCTTTCCAGGTGAGAGCTGGTGAGCAGAGGGCAGGGGATCTGACATCCCACTGGCCCCTCAGTGGGGACCTTACCCTTCTCCATCCGGCGGGCTTAACTGTCTACCTGAGCACTTCTCCTGGGTCTCTCAGACCCTCAAGTGCAGCTTGTCCATAATAGAACATTTTATTTTATTAACATGGTTGCTCCCCACCCTCCAAGGTTGTTGGGTAGTTGGTCACTCCATCTCCATAGATGTCACGATTATCCATGCAGGTGCTCAGGAAAGAGCCTTTTCTCATGTCCCAATCCACCCCATCCACTTTTGGGTCCCCCACCCCAGCCCCCAATTCCAAGTCCATCCACCTCTTTTCACGTCCACTGGCTGTCCCTTGGCCCCAAGAACCCCATCTCCTGGCTAAATACCACAGTAGTGCTTCCTTCCTTCATTCTCCAGTCAAACCAGTCTCTTGCACAAGAGAAGAGTGAGCCTGAAATGTAAGCAGGGCCAGGATACCCTCCCTGTTCAAGCCTCTTGCTGCCCACTGGTGTACTGGGGCTAGCTAGCATGCATGCCCGTGCAGGCCTCCAGGGCTCAGCCCTGCCCTCCTCTCTCTCTGCTCAAGCATCTCTCCTTTTTTTGTCCCTTCCACACGTCAAGGTCTTTCCTGCCTCCAGGACTCCGCCTGCTGTTCCTTCTCCCTGGGGTGCCCTCCCCTGGCACTCTTCAGAGCTGGTGCCTTCCTGTGCCTCAAGGCTGAGCTAAAATGTCATGCCCAGAGGTGGCCTTCCCCGGCCTGTGCATCTGGAGGAGGGCACGCCCTGCCCTGCCTCTGTCTCCAGGCCACTTGTCAGTGCCTCT